ACATACCATTCTTCTTTGGTCAACGGTTTCATATATTTAATTCAATGTAATTTAATAGTTGACCAGATCAAAAGTGTACTCAATAAAAAACGGTAATGTGTTTTTAAAGCTATGGTTTTCCATTGGAACAGGGAGAAACTGAATCTAGTAAGGCTATCTAAATAGTTTAGTTAAGAAATGACCAAAATATTCGAGGCTTTTGGCCGTGCGTACTTTTGCAACACCCTGTAAGAGTCAAAAAAGTACTTGAAGTACTTAAGATGTACTGAAAGTAGAAGTATTATTTTGAAAGTGCAAGCACTTTTACTTTCACTTGTATACTTGTACTTGTCGGTTCTTTGTTTGTCTGACCAAAAGCATTTATTTTTATTTTGTGAAGTGGAAACGATTTACAAGATAAGAAGAAAAAGCATAACGTTATTGATTAAATAAATATTCCTGATTAACACTTTTTGATTTTGTAACTTTTTAATGAGAGTATATTTGTGGTGTAAAAGTTTTCCCTAAGTGAAACGGTAACTCATGGAGCCAATGTAGATTACCATTTGTACTTGGTGAAAATGGCTCTGCTTTTGCTGAAAGAAATTTTACAACTGAATAATACCATCTCATTGGAGCCATACCTATATGAGCTAAATGATGATTATTGATCGAAGCATAAACAGATGCTACCACCTGAAATTAGTATAGAAGAAAGTAGAGAAACATGAGTGGAACAGTATACAAACTTACATTATTGACAACTATTGTACCTTTGAAAAACAGATTCAATTCAATGACTGTAGGCAAATAGGAGTATCATTAAGAGCGCAAGCGTACCTTTCGTAGTAATCGGTGAATAATAGCCCATTTTTACTTCTGCTGTAACAGATTTTACTTTAACACACATCAATTCGTGATTGTTCAAATGATCGCGAACATAAACGTAATCGTTTGGTGTTACTCTTTCAGCATAAATAAATGACGGAGCACCATCTTTGGTCATTATTGGAACGAGATGTCGTGGTGTTAAACTGATCGTTTCACCATTTTCAGTTTCAATACGAGTAAATAACGCTGGTAGAAAAGTCAATTAGTTCGTATATGTTCTTGAAACTTAATAACAAAATCTGCTGCTTACTGTATTCATCAGCTGAACTATGAGAAATCATAATGATTTCTGATTCTGTTATTTTGTTTGTTCGACTCATTGCCAGGACAATATCGCCGGATTTCAGTTGTTCCACCCTTTTATACTCGGCTGTTGGTGCCATTTGAACTAAACCATCGCCGCTGAGACAATTGTCAGCTATAAACAGGATTGAAATATTAGCCTTATTGTTACTCAAAGAATTATCAAACTAAATCAAGTATAATTTATCTTAGCAAAGTTATCGTATATTTATTCTTAAAAAGCAGAGCTGCTCCATCGAGTACAAATGTTGTTTCGAGTCAACTGCGTACGTAAACATATAACTATGAAAATACAAACAAGAAAAACGTTTTACTTACAACCACCCGTGAACATTGATTCCAGCATATCTGAAGAAGGTCCAACCACAACTCCACCGCCAACTGGAACACCAAATGGCGGCACGGCTGGTCCCGCGATTCCACCACCAAATTGTCGCGCCGTCTTATTTGATAAGGCAGAAGTAGAATTCACTGCAGCTTGTAATGCAGGTACAGCCAATGCCAGTACTAGTTGTTGTATCTGATAATAAACCATCAACAGAGCAATATTTCTTACACTTTTCTTCGCCATTTGTGTTGACGTATAGGAACTATTATTTACTTTTCAATACCAATACTAATCGCAGTACGACTAAGTTTCTTGGTTATATAGACTGTTTTTGAAATTAAAGTTGATTCACAAAACGGACTGAGTACGATTCATGGGTAAAAACCAGCAGCGTCATTTGATCATTGGTTGATTTATAGCCTGTGGTGTGGTTTATTGTTTTCTTCTTCTTCTTTACGTTCTGTACACCATAGAATAAATATCTGAGACCGTTATACCAAAGAAGAATGGTATGTAAATATGTCAATAACATACCTACAGAAAGTTTTTCCGGTTGCTACGAAATACGTACGTACGGGTCCGTACCGATACTGGAAATGAAACCGGTTGCTATTCTTTTTTCTTTGTATACCCATATATTTTCATGTTACAGACTAATCATGTATGCTAGTGAGCAACAGCTCGATTGTCTGTTTAAATCAAATTTTCCGCTTGTATTCTGACAGAATAAAGCTTATACCAAATACAATATTTGCCGATGGAACGTTCAAATGCGTACCACAGAGTTTTGCTCAGCTTTATATTATAATGACAGAGGCACCAGGAAATTGTAGCTTGCTTTTCCACTACCTCTTAAACTAACATCAATCGATTCAGTGTCACTGTGAAACTTTTCTTCTTGTATCATTGATCAGTTGTACCAACAGTTTATTGTTTAACCAGCTCGAGAACAGAATTGGTTTATCGTAAAGTTTTGATTGAAGCAGCTTTATTATGAGGTACAAAGAGAAAGGGAGTGCAATTATTTATATAATGGTGATTAGGCATGCAACAGTTTTTTTTCGTGTTTTTCAAAAAATGGTTTGTATTTTCGCAACAACGATCTGTGAAATTTCCTGAAATCAGCAGTTTTTTTAGAGCAAACATTTCTCTACAAGACAGCATATAGTAGATATTTTTAAAGCTGCTTGGTTTCTTTAAAAAACGTTTTTGATAGAATAACCTAGCAGTTGAAACTGCGGTTAAGCAGCGGCTTTTAACTGCTGGGTCATTCTATCAGAAACGTTTTTTAAAGAAAACAAGCAGCTTTAATAATCATTTCAAAGTTGGTTTAGAGTTGCTGGAAAGTAGTTTTTCGTATTCAGCGATTTATTTTTCCATGGAAAACTTTTTGCGCCATTTAGTTTCAAAATTTTTCTTAAACTTTCGGAAGTACCCCGAGCCCAAAACAGAAAATCCTCTGGGTTATCTAGTATGCTGAATACGAAAAATCACTTTTCAGCGACTCTAAATTAACTTTATTTTTTTTGTTCCGGTGATATGATCTACTATATGCTGTCTTGTAGAGAAATGTTTGCTCTAAAAAACTGCTGATTTCAGAAAATTTCACAGATCGTTGTTGCAAAAACACAAACCATTTGTTGAAAAACACGAAATAAAAACTGTTGCATGCCTAATTGCGATAGAATAGGAAGCACTGTAAAACAAACATACCTTCAAGTACGATAGTTGTACGACCATCACTAATACACCATGTTAACGGTTTAAATGTTATCATCCGTTCATTATGAGAATAAAGCACAAAATCTTTTAAATCTGGATGTTTTTCACATTCAGCAAACAATAGTTGATACGCATCAGCAATTATTTCCACTGGCAATGAAGGCAGAGCCATACATTTATGGACCAAGATTTGAATGGTCAAAAACTGCACTTTCAAGATGGCTGCCCATTGTGTGAAGTGGAAGTGAAGAACATGCAGAACCGAGGTATGTCCGATTCGTAAAGTTGCAATATATAACTTAATATACATATATACGTATGATTTATATAACTTCGATAAGTCGTTGTGGCTTTACAACCGCGACATGTATGGCAGCGTAGTAGGTAAATTTGACTAGGCATATGGATATTTATTTTAGCGGCCGTGCAAAAGGCTACAAGCATTGTTTTTATAGGGTTTTCCCATGTAGAAATATTAATAGCTGCCGCGGCTTTACACCTGTGAACGTCGTGAAACGGAATGTAGATGCAGGTGAACATCGTTAAATGGTGTGTTGGGGCGCGTGAATAAATTATCCGCTTGTGATCAGTCGTGAACAGTTCACGAAAACACATGTGACATTTTCTCCATGTGTCCGTTAGTGAAAGTCCGTACGTGGATTATTCACGTTAGTATTTCCATAAAAAAAAGTTCACTGGCGGACACGCGTCAAAATGTCCAGAACTTATTATAAAAAGTACCCTTCATCTGAATCCATTCACAGAATTCTTTTCGTGAATAATATACACGTTTATCCACGATGGATAATGTTCTGATTAGTTTAAGACTTACTTGAAAGTCTGTGCAGAAATGTTTACGGTACAATTTTTTGATCGAGAATGTTTATTTATTTGAGAATAAGTGTTAACTCCTCACGAAAAGTAAATACATACAGATAAAAAACCCAAAATATAAAATTATGTACTTTTTGTCAAATTTCGATATTGCATGTAGTAATAATAGTCATTTGCTTTATCGTAATAAGAGCAGATTTTCTCAGTAACACATGAAAATAGAACAAATAAAAAACCTTGTAATGAATTAACAGTACCGATGTAAAAAGTAGGATATAAAACGTCATGGCTATTCAATATTATTTTCAATTTGCCATGTGCTGCTACGAATGGGACAGCTAAAAAGATCTCGTTTTTCACGTTGATTATTTCTCCAATTAGTGCTACTTGTATATATGATGAGAATGGCTGAGGTGGTGGTTTATCGACACAATATCATCGTTTGTGTTTTTACATTGTTTAGAAGGATGAGTAGAAAATTTTGTCTTTCGAGCTACGATTGATGAATAATGATCAATTTCTTGCGTTTCAAAATACTTTTCAGCTCTTGTGCGTCGTGTTTGATCAATATCTATTTGTTTTTTTACTATCCGGTATATATCTTTATCAATTTGTCATTCGATATTTGGAGAATAAGGATGATGAAACATTTCTTATTCGACTGTCAAATGATGTGGCGTACAACTGTTGTTCCGCTAACTGAATGTTGGTGATTGTGTTCATTAATTCTCGTCCAAAGTTTTTCGTTCCCAAGAGAGTTGTTGCTATAATGCCTAAGACGAAAACAACACGAAATCAGGAGGTTATTGCAGTATTTGTTCTCTATGGTTGCTACTAATTACGTTATATTTTTAATATTTCATAAAATATATACTTTGTCTTCGTAAATCTTTTTATTTACAATCAACAGTTAGACGTTTCGATTACAACGTGCAATCTTCTTCAGTATAAATGTGGTGAGAGTGAATTAAGAAGTAATATTACACGCGTTAGGACTGCTGGTGTTTCTCAAGTAATAATATTAAGGGGGAAACAGCTTTTTTCCGGGAGTTTCCGATTTTCACCAATTTTTATCTATTTTCATCAAATGAAAAGTCACCGAAAATGGCTGGAAGTCATTGGAAATCACAGGGGATCACTGAGACCACTGAAAATCAATTAATTTTGGGTGATTTTCGACTGATTTTGGGATGATTTCAGTCAGCTGTTCCCCCCTTGAGTTATATACGGTTATGAAGATAAGTTTGCTTAGGCTTTAAATTTGTCGAAACATTTTCGAAATTGATCTCCTCTGTAACTTTTTAATCTAATAATGTTCTAGGTCGAGTTTTTCTGCAGATACACTAGAAATAATATCTAGCAGTTAGGTGAAACCCCAATGCAAAACGTTTTTTCATCAAGAAGTTCAGACGAGAGAAATTTGGAAAATTTTTCGAAAAATTATGACTAGAACTGTAGTAGGTTCTGTATCAGTTAACTTGGAAAACGAAAAGTGGAACTCAAATTACCCATTTGAAAGTGGAAAGTTTAAAATGTAGTCTGAAGCTTTATTATCCAAATATTGTTCGAATATCGGATTCATGTTACGACCAAGGTGCTCCTAGTCTTTCTACGTACCATAAAATAAAAAAATAATCGTTTAGACATGAGATTATCTGATTATCAGCTTCTCAGTTAGGTAAAACTGATGCACCATATAAAGGGTGGGCCAGAAGTCCTAACTCAACTTGTATAATGAATTTTTCATTATTAAAGCGTATGTTTAAAAATTTGTCTCTATGCTAAAAAGATGCAGCAGAAGACGCTCTACAAAACAGGCTATGATCAATACCTCCTAATTCGTCTGG